AATACTCAAGTCCATTTTAATATCTAATAATAGTGGCTGCCTCAAGTATTCAAATTTTAGCATAACCAGCAGGAAAACTGTTTGATGTTTTAATTATGTCCCCAAAAATGCTGAATGAGTTATAAAAAGCAATTTGAACAAAATAAGAAAAGGGATTTTTTTTTTTACATTATTAGTGTTTTGGGAGAAAAGACATTTTCTACATTCCATTAAAAACCTTTCTACATTGTAAAAATACTATCTGCTGATAAACTAGGCCAAATAAGCCCAGGATTTGCATCTGTTGTAAGTGGTCTCATTTAGGGGAGGAATCTGGAAAATGAAAAAAAGAATACCTCAGAGGAACTGTGCTCTAAGAAGGGGGAGCTATGGCAATTGAACATGCCTTGAAAGAAAGAAAAAAAGAAAATCTTTTAATTACATTTAAAATTAGCCAGAACCTTGTGCTTGTTCCAATGAGATTCCTTGGGGTGGGGGGGAGGGTGGTGTGTGCAAAAGTGCTGATGAACGAGCCGCATCAGCCACGGCTGATGTAATCACTTCAAAAATCCCACCTGGAAGTCTGGACTGGGGAGGAGGCTGTGGGGACATTCCCTGGGCTAGATCCTGCTGGCCCCAGGTCATTCTTCTGGGCAGGAATGAGGAAAGCAGTCCCCAAGGGGAGGGAAGTAATGAGAAGGAGGACATTTCCGAGGAACGGAACCAGATGTACAAGCTGTGGAGCAGGGAGTGGGGCTCAGCAGTGGGTGGGCACCGGACAGGAGGAAAGGGAGGCTGGATTTGGGCTTAACTCTTTCTTCTCTCAGTAGGTGGAGGTGTGTCCTGGTGCAGACCTGTCTCTCAGATGACAAGAAGACCTTCTTTCCAGTGGCCAGATAGGAATAATTCAGGGAAATAATTCTCCCTGAGGCACAATGGGCCCTTTCCCTGTCTGAATGGCCTGGTGGGGATCTGGGCAGGGCTTGCGACATGTACTGCATTCCTGGAGGATTCTAATTGTCATTATTTTTTTGTTATTATTTTCTTTGTAATCACTTCGCCCGAGCTGCATTCCAGACCAAATAACTAGCATCCTGGGGATGGAACTCAGGCATCAATATTTTTAAAAACTCCCCAGATGCTGTGCAGCCAAGTTTGAAAACCAGTGGGAACATGGCTCTCAAACTTGACAATCACATAGGTGGTTTGTACAAAGCAGGTTCTTAAGTTTTGTCCACAGTGTCCTCTTTGAAGTGGTTTTTGTTGTGCTGTTATTCAGAAAAGACTGGATTTGCTTCATTTATTATCAGCAAATGTTGACAAGGTCCCTACCATGTGCAGGCATTGTGTAGAGGAATGACCAGCCAAATAAGACTCTTTCTTGAATGTCACAGTCTAGCAGGGTGTGTCCTTTTATGTAACATAGAACTGTGGCTGATGAGCTCAGCTTCACTTATCTCCTGTGAGTCATTCTCACCTTTGCACAAAGATCTGAGATGCCTATCTGCTCAACACCCTTCAACATTGAGCTATGGAGCCATATGTATCCTAGAGATGATGGGGAGGAACCAAAAATGCCCCTTCCCTGGCATGTAGGTACAGATTTGTGGGATGCCATCTCTGGTGAGTTTTGCAGCAACCCTGCAAAGTGATTACTCCTCTGCCCACTTAACAGTTAAAGAAGTATAAAAAGATTAAATAATATTCAAAGTCATGTAGCTAGTATCAGTACTTATTCACCCTTTTATCATTATAATGCTCTTATTTCATTAAGCTGTCTTCCTTCAGAGAACAAGCAGATTGAAAGATGGTAAATGCTGAAAGAACCGTTCAGCATTGGAAACAATGATTCCAGCCATTATTACCAACCATTCTTGTTGCTGATGAGGTCATTGAAATGAATTCTCCAAAATAGTGAATATTTTTCAGTTGAGATGCATTCTCAATAAATATTTGTTGAACAAACAAATGAGTGAATAAATGAAAACCAAGGGGTAAATGTAGACAGATACTTATCCTTCCTAGACCCTCAGTCTGGTGGGATTTCTAGATCATAAAAACTGGAGTAATAATTTATTTACTTAAATAGTAATTATTATTACGTTAGTTATCAATTATGTGCCCAGGAGTATACCTTCTCTGTGCCTAGCACTGTACAAATCACTGTATAAACAGCACTTAATTTAATATTTATTGTACTCTTTGAGATGAAAACAAAAATGTACTTCAGAGAGGTTAACTCACCCGCGGCCCAGATAGTAAGTGTTACAGGAAGAGATTCAGGCCTGAGGCTTGGATCTGAAGCCCCAGCTCTTCCTTCTGACTTACACTGCTCAAAGTAAAGCTTCCTTAGTGGCATCCAAGAGTTTCCTCCTTGAAGGCCTTGAACATTGTAGCAGATGCTGCTGGGGCTTTTGGCACACACCCTTCGACCTCCCATGAGGTTACCTGGAGACTGTTCCCCAACACTCCAATGGCTTCGTGGGTGTGCAGATCACAGGGAAAAACAGAAGTGCCCTAGAATGAAGGCCCCAGAGAGATTCTCAACTGAAGCGAGGTGGGAATTGGTGAGTAAATACTCCGGCTTCCTTTCCTCCAATAGGCAATTCAGAAGCAGCTGCTCAGTCTGTCATGCTCGGTTGTGAGGCGAGCCCCAGTCACCCGCAGAAGCAGTCTGCTCATTAGCACACTCTTCATTGGCCTCACATCTTTCTCTCCCATAGTGCTTTCTTGCCTCACCTCTCAAACACTGTGCTTATATCCAAATGCTTTCCTCAGGGTTTGCTTCTGTGGAATCCCAAACTAAGAAAGGCACCACCTTCTTCATTCCCAGAAGTTAGGGAGCCCACCTTGGTGACTATGGTCAAAGAATCAACAAATGGTTATCATGGAATATCTCTTTTCTTGGGAATAAGGTTTCCCTTCTTTCTCTCTGCTTCTCTAGAGGGAAGGCTGGTGCAGAGTGGACATCTAGGTGGTCGCACCCCTTTGAAAGGGCAAATGGAGTTTCCAGGGTCTCATGGCTTCTGCTGGAGTAGGGGTTCCCTGGAGAATTTTGGCAGGTGGGGAGGCAAGTTTATCTGCATGCCTCTGTTCCTGGTGGGGACGACTGCTGTGGATTTTGATGCCACAGGATGCAGGGGCCTGCCGCAGTGCTCTCCAAGCCTTGAAGTGTGGGGCGTGGATGCTCCAAAGGACCCAAGTATGAAGCCAAGTGCGAACCCCCAGAGCCTGCAGAGAAAACCCTTCATGCCAACTGGTGGAATGGGGTGGGGAGAGCAGGCAAAGCGGAAAGGATAACTCATGGGGCGTTGATGGAGCTGGGTTGAAATGCTAGCTCTGATTATTATTCTTTCAGTCAGTCCATAATCGTGATGTGCCTACTGTGTGCAGACTGGAGTGATATGCAAATTCCTTAGCCATTATTATTTGTGTGTTGCACTAGACATCACCCTTCTAATTGTTGGATTATGGGGTGGTCTGAATGATCCAGGGAGGGGGATAGGGTGGCAGATGTACCATGGGGCACTTGGGAGGTTGGCAGTAGTTAATTGCCAACAGGACACAGAAACATGGCAACATTTTGACAACTGTCCTGGTCATACAGCTGCATAGTCACTGATGTGTGTCTGGTGTCTGGCACCGGTAGATGCTGGTAGGGAAAAAACAACAACCATGAAACCAACCAGTCTTTGTTCTTATTTTCTGGGGAAATAGATTGTGTTCAATTCATCAGACTAAATGTTCTAAAAGAAGGAAGCATGGGACAGAGGCGCCTCACCCAGGGTTGAGGCTCAGGGGAGCCTTCTGCAAGGAAGGACACAGGGTGACATTGGTGAGAGAACTGAGGAGTGGGACCAGGACTTCCCAGAGACGAAGCAGCATTCTTGAAAATGCCCCGAGGTGGGAGGGATGTGCTGTGTTTGAAGGAGAGAAAGAAGGTCCGTGTGTCTTGAACAAAGAGAATGAGGCAGGGGAGTTGGTTCCAGATGACTTTGGGGACACCCACTGGGGCCAGCCAGGCAAGGGGGTCATTTCTCAGGCCACTGAGGGTTTCTAAACAGGGAGAGTGAGGAGCTCAAATTTGGATGTGAGCCGGTCGCTCCAGCTGTGGTTTCAAGACTGTTCAAGGGCAGAAATGCTGAGGGTGGAGGTTTGGGAAGGATTAGGAGTCAAGCCAGAGCTAATGGCAGCTTGCTGCAGGCCAGAGGCCTGGGGATGGAGAGGACCCAGGAGGTGATAGGCTGGGCCGGCCTGGATCGGAGGTGGTGATGAGCTCCCCTTTCCATGTTGCTTCCAGGTCCTTGAACTAGATGGATGGTGGGTGGTTCACTGGGATTGAAGCACTGATGCAGGATGAGCTCCGTGACCCTGAAAAATCTCACTCCCAGTCAGGGCCTTAGTTTCCTCATTTCTATGAAGTCAGATGGCTTATATAACATGCAAAAAGCCATTCTCCAATTCCCCACGGTTGATATTCACAGGCAGAGAGGCTGCCTAACTGGAAATAAAGCCTATCATCGCCTTCAAAAGGATGCCTGAGGTGTGGTTTCTAGGTCACAGTTACCTAAAATATTAGCATATGGAAATCTTAGCTCTTCTTGTCCTGTCTCATCTCCAGAGCCAGGCATATTAGAGATAGGACTCCTGAGTGACATTCTTCTACTTTTTTCCCCTCAGTGAACTCCACCTTCCAAGGGGGAAGGGAGTGGAATTATGCAGCTTGATGTGAGCTAATCATGTAACCCCACAGAATTTGTGCCCTCTCTGGCACTCAGCATTGTTGTTTGCAAGAAGAGGGTGTTTTATATCGGGCAGACCTCAAGGTCCCTTCTCATTCCTGCCTTCTCTATTTCCTTTATCTTGGTATTCTATAATGCTGCTCATTTTAGCGTTCGACTGAGTTCATTCACTTCTGGGAAGGGTTGGGCTATTTTGCTGAGCAGGTTCAGAAACCTCCTAGGATGCATTTTTAAAAAATAAATATTTTGTTTATTCATTTTTAGAGCAAAGAGAAAGGAGGGAGAAAGAGGGAGAGAGAAACATCAATGCGTGGTTGCTTCCCACATTCCTGCCGGGACCTAGCCTGCAACCCAGGCATGCGCCCTGACCGGAAATCGAACCAGTGACCCTTCGGTTCACAAGCCAGTGCTCAATTCACACCAGTCAGGGCTCCCGGGATGCTTTGTTATCAGGTATTCCTGAGAGAGGAAGGCTGCCTTGGGCCTGGCTCAGAGATACTGTTTTGGGGAGGCTGGACAGGGAGCTACACGCCCCAGATTTGTGGGGAAATACCTGCTAATGCTTTGAGAATATGAGAAGGAAGGCTTAGTCCAGGCTGAACACTGGGGGAGGCAGAGAGCAGCGTCAGGCCTGGCCCCTCAGGAACCCAGGCATCCTTTGTCCTCACCGAGGGGAGGAATGTTTTTACCAAAGCCTTCGTTGCCCAGCAGCACCTCAGAAGAAGGCTCTTGGATGTGCTTTTGCAGTGGCCTGGTGGGGCCTTCCCCTTCCTCCCTTTTTATGTTATTAGTGTACAAATCCATTAACATTGCTTTTTCTTGAGCATCCAAGATGCTACAGTCTATCACTCAAGTTATTCACATGGCATTTCAGCCTTTCTTTGGAAGACAATTGTGTCCCCAGTCAAAGGCCTCTTGACAAGAGAAAATGGGACCGCGGGATGGAATAATGCAGCCAAGTACTTGCCGTACACCTGCAGAGTGCGCCTCTGTGGACCATTACGTCTCAAATTGTTGTGTTGAAAGATTTCTCTTGTTTACATCTCTTCTTGTCCCAGCATTTAACCTTGGGGCTCCGCAGACTCAGTCCCCTCCCCTTGTCGATTCTTCCCTTTGTGGCTTTCATTTTATGTAATTATGTTGGGGACAGCCATTGCGCACGCGGCATTTTCTTAGCTGCGCAGCAGGATGCGATTTCTGCCTCTGAGTCCCTTGCTCTGGAAACTCACTTTAGGTCACTTACTGACTAGGTGTTTTGGGTTTCTTCAGAGGCTGCATCCCTACAAAAAAAAAGGAAGAAGGATGTGCCTAAAAACCTAACATACAAAAAGGGATTAAAAATGACACTGGGTCATGATTTTATCCCAGAGTGCACGCGTCAGGAAATGTGACACAGGCATGGGAGGAAAAGGCTCAGTTATCAGCAAGGTGATTAATGCATTGGTGTTTCGCAGCATGTACACATGGGTTTAGAACAATTTTTTTTACATCTCTCATTTCTAGCATATACAGAAAGAGGCAGAACACTGCTGGCGGGAATAAATGATAGTACAGCTGCTTTGGAAAACAGCCTGGCAATTTCTTAAGCTGTTAAACAGAGAGTTACCACATGACCCAGCAATTCCACTCCTAGGTCTATACCCAAGAGAAATAAAAACACATGTCCACACAAAAATTTGTACCTGAGTCTACACCCTCAGTGTCCATCAACGGGTGATGAATGAATAAATAAAATGGGGTCTATCTGTCCAATGGAATATCATCAAGCCATAAAAAGAAATGAAGTACTAGTCTATACTACAGCACGGATAGACCTTGAAAGTGTTATGCTATGTGAGAGAAGTCAGTCACAAGGGACCTCACATTGTAGGACTCTATTTAAATGAAATGTCTGGAATAAGCAAATCTGTACAGACAGGAAGTAGCTTAGTGGTTGCCAGGGACTACGGGTGGGGTGTGGGGTGAAATTAGAGAATTATGGCTGAGGAGTGCACAGTTTGTTTTTGGATGATGAGACTGTTATAAGGTTCATTGTGGTGATGGATGTGCAATTCTGAATATATTAAAAGTCAATGAATTGTATACTTTTAATGGCTGAATTATATGGTATGTAGATTATACCCAATAAAACTGTTTAGAAAAGAAAAAATATAGATAGAATAGTACAGTGAAACTTAGGTACCCTCTCCTGACTTCAACAATTACCAGCTTAGCACCAATTTTGCATTTTCTCTTTTTGCCTCTCAAATATTATCATTGTGCCTGTAAGTATTTTAGTATGCACCTCTAAGAGATAAAGGCTCTTATAAAAGATATATAACATCAAAACCTTGATCACACCTAAAAACTTAACAATAATTTCTTAAATCTCGAAATACCCAGTGTTCAGATTTCTACTGGTCTGGTATTTTTTACAGTTGTTTGAATCAGGATTCAAATTAAGGCTACACATTGCAAGTGGTTAAAATGTTTTGAAGAGTCTTTTAATCTTTACATTCTCCCTCTGTCTCTCTCTTCTTCCCCCTTGAAATCCATCTGTTTAAGAAACCACAGAGCTTCCCAGGGTCTGGACTTCGCAGATGGCACCCCTGCGCTGTCATCTAACTTATCTCTCTGTCTTCTGTGCCACTTATATGTTGTTAGCTCTACCCGGAGCCTTGATCGGGCTCATAGGAGGTGCTGTGTCCTCCATCAGGAGGCACCAGATGTCTGGTTGTCTTGCTCTGTGCTTTTAGCAGCTCTTGATCGTCAAGGTTCAGTCCCATCAATCATTAAGGATGGCAGGAATTTTTTTGAAAGCACATGATTCCTTCCTCATGTACTAAGTGAAGCCACGCTTCTTTATTCCACTTCCGTGCGCTCATCAAAAACTTGTCCTGTCCTGAGATAGGAAATCCTGCTCTTTTGGAAAGGAAATTGACAGGCTCAGAGCTGTATCTATGGAGCTTCCCTTTCCCCAGAGCACGGTGCAGGAACCCAACTCGCCTGGACCTGCTTACCTCCTGCCCTCTGCACGCCAAGACCTGTTCCTCTGGCCCATCTGCTTTTCTTGTTGCACACGACATACTCACACACCTCCATGCTTTATTCATGGTGTTCTCTCACTCTGAGCTGTCATTTTTGCCCAGCACTATGCCAAGAATTAAAGATAAAAAATAAATAAGAGGCCATCCCTACCCTCAAGAAGCTCATGTCCGCTGAGGGTGAGGGATGGACAAGTAAGTGGATCATTGTGAAGTTCCTCTTACCCTTCCAGACCTGGCCCAGTTGTCACCTCCTGGGCGAGGTCTTCTTTCTCCCCCCACTCCTCAGGCAACACTCACCTGCTCTTTGTGTGTTCCCTCTGCCCAGGTTCCGAAGTGTGGATGCCTGTGTTAACTGTATGATAAGGAACTTTACTGAGAAAGCATCTATATCCTATTCATCTTCACATTTTGCTTCTGTTAACTTACTAGGTGTGTGAGTTGAGGCCAGTTACTTAATTTATCTCAGTATGTAGTATGACTTCTCACCTCAGTTGCCTTATCTGTAATTTGGGGCTAACCCTAGGACCTACTTCCAAGGGCTGCATTGACAACTGAAGAGATGGCACACACAGCTTTTAGATTAGTGCATTGCTTGGTGTTCTACTGAGCGTTTGCCAAATTATTGACTGACAATGAATGGGATGTAATGTATACCTTTAAGTAATTTACAAGTTTAGTAAACCAGATGAGTGTGAAAGAATAGTTAACAAGGCAATGAAATATAGTGAAAGGACTTTGGGTCTGGAGATAGGGGTCTCAAAGTTGCTAGCTTCCTCATTTGTCCTCGAAAACTGTGGGTCTCAAGGGGGTAATTGAGCTCCTCACACCCAAGGGGACATCTCATGGTGTCTGGAGACACTGTGGTTGTCACAATTAGTAGAGGGATGCGAAACATCCTACAATGCACAGGACAACCCACTTTGTATCTCCTCCAAGTGAACAAAAATTATGCATCCCCAGTAGTTCTGAGAGTGGAAAACCTCACTCTTCCTACTCAGAGTATGGTTCACAGACTAATAGCATTGATATCACTGGAAATTGTGATAAAATGTAGAATCCCAGACCTAGTGAATCACAATGTGCATGTTAGTCGGATCACCACCATGCGATGGGCACGCTCACCAAATTTTGAGAAGCGGTGTGCTAGAATGGTGCTCCTCAGTCTTGGATGCCTATTAGAATGACCTGGAGGGAGGCGGTTGTGATGGTATTAAGCATCCTGATGTCCCATATCAAGTCAGTCAGAATCTCTAGGATGGAACCAGGCCTCAGTATTTTTTTAAGCTCTCCACGTGATTCTAGTATCTGGCCAGGCTTGAGAATCCCTGATACAGGAGCTCATGGTCTGATGGGGTGGAGAGACTTGTTAGTGGTTCACAGTATAGGATGATAGCTGGTTCTCAAGGAATAGAGAGCCGAGGTGGAGGAAGTTAACCATCAGTGGGGACCAGTGTGTTGGGAGCTGTGGGAGCCCAGAGGCTCCACTCAGACAGATGTGACCTTGAGCAAGTCATTTCCTACCTACACTCACAACCATATCCCCCGGGTTGTCTCAGTTTCTTGGTTTATTAAGACAAAGCTTCCACCTTAAACCTTCTGAGAAGCCTATAATATGGCTTAATGAAGTTTTAGTGAATGAATGAATGATCTTATACTAAGTTAAAAAAAAAAAGGCTATCGACAACAGATTCTCCACGAGTTCAGGAGCAGGGAGCCACTCAGCAGCGATAGCTTCGTGGAGGAAATAGGATTGTGCTGGGGCTCTGGGGCAAGCCCTCCCACCGGAGGAGAAACACACATCTGTTTCCTTTTGTTCCTGTTTGGGGAAGGCAGCCTACCAGGGCTCATTGTCTCCAAGGAGATACATCAATCCCAAACATCTCCCACTCTGATTTATAATTAACACAGGTCCCTATTGCAGCACAGCTGCAAATCATTAGCAGTCATTTTTAGAGATCAGCAGGTAGGGGCTTCTTCCCCCTTATGGGGTTGGAGGAAAAAAGGTTCAAGAACTTTCTGCAGCCCTTGCCTCCTGGTATTAGATGTGGAGCAGGAACCCAGTTCCTTCTGTACCCCCTGCACATTAAAGCCCTTTACTTCTTAAAAACACATGATGGTTTTAAATGCTGGCATAAAGGACTGGAAATGGATTTAACCTCATCAAACACTTCCGTATCTGATCTTACCTTCTGAGCTGCAGATCACGGGCAACATGAAAGGGTTCCATTTGCAGGCTGGTTTTTACTGTGTTTTTTTCTCCCTCAGAGTTTTGCCTGTCATGCTAGGTCAAGGAGAAGGAGAGGCATGTGGTCAGGTATTTGTTAGCCAAGGGCTCTGTCCCTGGTATTTAGGGAGCTGGAGATGTGGAGAAGGCACCCCCCCACCACCACCATTAGTCCTACTTGGGGATTTTCACCTGCTTCCATGGTAATGCTACACTCTGGCAATGAGCTGAGTTGAGAAAAGGCAGTTTCTTTTACTGGAGGCCAGCTTCTGAAAAACTCCTTATATTGGGGAATTTTGTACTGGATGAGTGTAGGAGCAGGTAGAAGTGGGAAAGGGCAGTGCCCACTTTCTCAGCTCTCTTGGCAGCTCAGCCTTGAGCACCTGGCTTGGTTTCAGTCAATCAGACCCCCCTGCCTGGGGAAAACCAGTTGGAAACTGTTTTCCAACTTGGCAAAGGAGGAGCGGCTCCACCATTCTTTCCCTTCCTTCCCTTCTTCCTTCCTCTCCATCTCCTGAGCAGCCACGTGTTGTTTTTCACCTCCAGCTGCAACCTGGCTCAGAGCTGCATCCTTTGTCTCGGGGACCCAAGTCTGGAAGAGGGTCTGGAGACACCAATATCCTAAGATAAGGCAGGACTGGGATGAAACCCTGATAGGGCCTTGCTCAACCCCTTAGGGAGTTTGGCTTGTATCCTACAAGCAACTAGGAAGCCACCGGAAGGTTTTAAGTGGGAGGGGTTTGTGAGTGCCCATGGGAGATTTTGCGATGGAACCTGAACTGTAAGACCATCACTGGTTCATACTGGACAACGACTGTGTGGAGCAGGAAGGCCAGTCCTTTAAGTGAGCCCTGGGGCTGCCTGGGCCGGGTGGGGGCCCCTCCTTCTCCATCGAGTCCAGAGCCTGCTCCCAGACTCTTCCCGCAGATCCCCAGCTCTCCCTGCTGCCCTGGGGCACCGTGTCTATCAGCGATGGATGCCCTAACCCACAGGGTGGGGCGATTTGAGCCCTCAGCCAGGGAGTAGGGAGGATTTTGAGGACAGAGGCCCACTCAGTCTTGGTAATACAGAAACAAATAAAAAAATAGCACAAGCATATATATTATTCCCTTAGCATCCTATGATCTTCAACCACAAGGGGCTTGGAGTGTCTCAGGGCCTAGATGCCCAGGTGAGGCTGGGCTGGCCCGTGCCACAGCCCGACACGTGGCTGTGGAGTGTGAACACGTTTGATGCCAGGAGCGCCACTTCCCCTAGACCGCCCATACCCCTCGTGGGGCAGCCTGCATGGATTGTGTCCTTTCTTTTGTGCTCTTCCATGCTATCCCCCCTGTATAGCACAAGCCCCCACGTGGCTGCATATGTGGTCCTGGGGGCTCAGACCCTCCAGTGATGGGGCTGGCCCCAAGATTAACCTTGTTGTGGGTTCCCGGGCCCTTGGATAGAGGGAAGCAAACCTTGATATTGGGTGAGAATTAGCCACAGCCCTGCTCCCAAGCCGAGGAAAATGTCAAATTTCCGGCCACTGCTCTCACCTTCTGAGGGGCCCCTCCCAAGGTGCTCAACTTCTCCTTCCTCCCAGGAGAAAGGACTGACCAGCGCGACTCGGAAACATAGGGGAGCATGGCTGGAAATGGCCTTGGTCTGGAGATTCCCGTAGGAAGCCATCAGCCTGTCAAATCACCTTTCTCTTCGGCTCAGGCTTTGATCTTTTCCGAAATCCAGGTCAAAGGCAGGCCTCGGGCATCTTTCCCGGAAAGCTGTGGTTGATGCCCCTTTGTCCGTCTCCTCTAGGCCTCTGGACAGCGCTGGGTCCTCCGGGTCCCCTGCTCCTGCAGCGTGGCAGGAAGCTGCCCGCTAGCATTGAGGCCGAGCAATTAAGAAACTGCATATTTCTCCTCCTCACTTCCCTAATTGTTATTTTTGTCCCTGCTTTCAAACCATCCTGGGTTTTTATTTCATCTTGCCCCAGCCCAGTGCGGCTGGCAGAAAAAGCCAGTTCGCTCAGTGGGGGGCAATTTTCCCAGCATGTCCAGCGATAATTCCAACACGACTGCTTTGTACATATAATTATAAAACCAGGGGCCACCAAAGTGCATCTATAGAGCAGAGCCTTGACTGTTCTTGGTTCTGTTTTAATTATTAAGCCTTAAAGCAAAAACTAGGTTTCAAAGAAAACTTTCTGTACAGTTCTCAATAGAGTTAAAGGAGGAACATTTTAAGCTGATGAGTTGACACTTGTAGAAGCAAATATATTAAATAAATCATGATTCGTTTTGGGGGCAAAGTCTGACTTACATCAACTCTGGAAAAAATGGATCTTAATGAGTGACAGTTGGGTGTTTTCTGTCACTTCCTGAGGTAATGGCCGCAAGCTGACATTGCTCAGTGGGTGTCTCATACTTCTGAACAAAAGTTTTTTGGAGTGAGATAGACAAGGTAGAAATCCCAAGGTGACTGGGAGGAATGTCTAATGAGTGGAAAGACATATTTACTGGCAGTCGGTATGTAAGCTGTGACAGTTGACAGGACCTGACTGTAACAAATATAGCTGATGAAGAAAAGGCTGACAGTCCGGGAGAGGGGGCGGAGGTGGGGGTGAGGGACTCAAAAGCCCCGCCTCGGCTGAACCCTGCTAATGGCAAGGTGGATACAAAGCTCTGAGCCATGAAAGGGAGCCGGGCTCTTGCACTGATGTCTAAACACAGAGACGTGTCCGGCTTGCAGGAGGCAGTAATAGGTTCGGATTTGTTGACCTCTTTGCCTGTAGCTTTAGAAGCTAGTGTTCGGGTAATATCTGGGGCCAAAAGATGACCCCAGCTCCAGGGATATATGTACTTTCGGTGACTTTTGGGTCAGTGGACACATGTCTCGGGCAAAGACTGGGCTTGGGTTTTTAATTAACGGATGCCTCACCTGGGCAGCTACCATGACCAAGAGCCACTGGGCTCTGGCCAGTCTGCCCCAGGGGGCAACAGTGGGGCACACAGGGAGGTGGGAGGGAGACTGAGCAGTGCCGCGTTCTGCAATCGCCCATTCCTGTGTGCCCCTGACCCCCTTCATTCTTCTGCTCCCCAGCCCCTCCATGCGATTTCTCCTTGGCACCCTGCCCCTGCCCACTCCCTGGCACAAAAGGAGTGATTGGCCTCGAAAAGGCAGAGCTGACTGGCATATTAAATGATGACACTTTGTTACTGGGCTGGTCAGGGCTTCAACAATAGGCTTGCCAACGAGCTCTGCACTTCTTCCCCCAGGCAAATGTCACACTGAAACTAAACAGGATCTTTTTTCATCCTACATGCTGTTTTCTATGCCACATATTATTTTATAGTTGAAAATAGGCTCACTCTTTAAAATGCACAGAGCCTGCGATACTTTCATCATGGGCTCATTTCAGAGGAGAGGCTGGTGGGGGCAAGACTGTTGAGTGATGAGGGTTTGGCCAACATCTTGACCTTACCTTTGTGTTTTCTGAATAAATGAATACATAAAGGTGAAAATTGGACATTTTTAAAGATTCAAAAGGAATGGTTGCAAGTGATTAGAACAAAACAGACTAATAAGCCATGAACTTCAGACATCAAGAGAGGAACTTGATTTGTCATAATCACCGTCTTTCTTACTTTGGTGGACCAAGGTGTATATTCCCCACCTCTGTGTTGATTTTGTTTAAGTCTGCTCTATGATTTGGAAAAACGGGATCCATGTCTGTTAATTCCTCAGACCTGAGCGAAGTGTCAGTACCTTAACTTTTCTTTTGCACCAATTAGTAAATGGAAAACTCTTTCCAGTACTCTTGGCTAACATGACCCACTTTCTCCAGATTGGCTCTTGTTAACTTGATTCCCTGCTTTGGGATAGATCTTGGGTCAGACTAGGCTAAATGAAGTCCTTCCCAGGCCACGAGCTGTGGGCTGACCCAGTATCAGAGACCCCCATAGACTTCAGCCCAGTGTTAGCACTTCACTTGTGGACCAAGGATTCCTGGGACTGCCTTCTACATGGCTGGGTTCATTGGGGTGGCAGAGAGATGGGGTTTTAGAACTGATCCAGCAGCAAAGCCTTCTTGTCAATAGGACAGCAATTTTTAGAACAGGGTCTGGGGTACGGGTAGGGAGGCTCAAGTATAGAGAGCCTGGTAGCTCAAGATAGAGGATGGATTTGGTTTGAGATGAGGCAGTTACATTTTGGGGAGAAATGAGATAAAATTATTTCTCTCCTCTACCCCAGAGGCATAGGTCTATTATTATATATTTTTACCTTTTCTTAACTTTGAGCAAGTTACTTTTTCTTTCTGAGCATTAGCGTCCCCTTCTGTAGAATGAAGTTATTAGTCTAGATAACCTGGGATGCTTCTTCCTGCTCAAGATCTTTTGGATTTTATGATCCACCAAAGAAGGTTTCAGAAAACCTCCCATCAAGTGACATCCTCCTGGCCAGCTAATGAGCCTGGTGTTCCCAAGCCATGAGGCCAGACTCAAAGGAATTTGGGGGTGAGGACCCAACAATGCTTGTCCTAAAGCCGAGACTGCCTGGCTTTGGTTGCCACAGCTCCCAACCACCCACAGATGTGCTTTCGATGCTGCGCCTGGTGCCGGGAAGACCTGGAAACCTGCTGGTGCAAAGAACCAGAGGGGCAGTGCTCCAGGGGTGGGCACAGCCCCACATTCCTACAGTAGAGAACACCCTGGCCTTGTTCACGGGACAGGCAGAGGGACTTGGGGTGGAGGGGTGGGGCGTCAGTGCCACTGTTCAGGCCTACAGTTCCTACAACAGGAAAGGGAAGACTTCTCAAGGCTCCTCTGGCTCAGTGAGATTTTTCTTCTAAAAATCGTTTTCATGTGCAGATCACCTTCCAAACCCCAAAGCCCCCAAGCCAGGTTCGCAGAGGCTTGGGCTCTGGCCTCTCCTGGGCTGATCATTGACTGTCCAGAGAAGCCCAAGAGCCTCTCTACATCTCGTGTGTAAAATGAGAGGAGAGCATGAAATCAATAACTGCATTACTTTTAGTAGAAAGCTTTACAAAATGATGTCAGCGCCCAGATAGCATCCTTCCTAGAATCCCAATACCTCTGTCAAACCTGTAGTGTATTGGTTAATGTGAAGAAGGGATCCTATCGTTCATCCTCTCAACCTCTCTGGCTCCTGTCAGCTCTCCAGGGAGCACCTCAGGGACCTCGGTCATATTGTTGGGGAGGTTAGGTGTAGTCAATGCATTTTCGACTTAACAATATTTTCAACTTAGGATGGATTTATTGGGTGGTCACCCCATTGTAAATCAAGCAGCATCAGGGCCAGAACTGCACCCTGGGCTTTTGCAACTCCCTGGCGAACCCACTTACTGTCCTTCTTCAACTTCTGCATCATTGACAAGCATGGGCCTAGGAGAGGGACTTTGAAAATGGGTTCCTGCCCTGCTCCGACCCGGGCTTCCTGTGCCACCTGCCCCACAGGGCTGTTCCAAGCCCATGGGAGCACTGAACGCCCCTGTGCAGTGCACACCAGCTGTCCCACGACAGCTGGACATTTGGTTGCTGACTGTGCGTCAGGCATGTCCCAATTGCTTCATATACCTTGTTTCATCCAAAGCTCACAATAGTTTTTTGAGTTACTCATTTTATCTTCTTTTTCCTGATGAGGAAAATGAAGAACAGAGAGGTTAGGGAATTTATGTGAGATCACACAGCCAGCAGTAAAAATAGATATAAAGTCAGACAGTCTGAACAGCCTGCCTGTCAACCACTATACACTATTGCTTTCTCCTCTTACATTATGTAATTAACTAGACACATATTTATGGAATATTTATTATGTGTCTAGCACTGTGTTGGGCACTGAGACTACGGCGCTGAGCAAGAAATCAGATGTGGTTTCCAGTCTCTGTGAACTTATATTCTAGAGGGGAAGACAGACCATAATCCAATGTGTATAAATATATAATAAATGTAAAATTGCAGCTATAGAGAGAGTGATGGAGGAGAAGAGCATGGTGCTCTAAGAGCCTGTAATAGGGGACTTGGCTCAGTGAGAGAAGGCAGAGAGGACTTCCTGGAGGAAGTAACAATTTAGATGAGGCCCAAGGGATCAGTAAGGATGAGGTTAGTAGTGGGCAGTGTCGACAGTGGGGATGGGGTATGTAGGTACATTCCATGCAGAGGGAACAGCATGTGCAAACGCCAGGAAGTCAGTACTGGCTGTATAATTTGCAGGGCTCAGTGTATAGTACAAACGTGGACCCCTTGTTACTAAGTTATTGAGAATTTCAAAACAGTGAGAACAAGAACCTTCTGTATGTGGGGCCCTTGTAGCTGCAGAGGTCACACGTGACCTCTCTGTGAAGCCAGGCCTCATGAGAGAGAGCAGGCTGGGGAGAGAGGGAGCCAGGGCAGATCACGGAGCCCTCAAGGCCAAGTTCAGGATTCTGTCTTTTTTGGTCAGTTTCTAGGTCGCTCTGGCTGCTGGATAGAGAAGTATTTGGGGGTGAGGGGGGAGACAGATAGATGAGCTCTTAGGGGGAAAGGGGCCAGGCCTCAGGGCTCAGGCCAGTCTTCCACCTCCCTGGGCCCAGCCTGGTTTTCTCTTTGGAGGGAAAGGGAGTGTGACGTCCACCCCCTTGATGGCCAGAATGCAGGGGCAGGGGTCTGAGCCTTGGAGCCTTTCCATGGCCAATTTGCATGGGCTTAGCCGAAAGGCTCCACGGCCATTTCCCACTGACCTCCTGGAGGCTGGTAGGAGAGCACGGCTCCCTCTAAGGTCCAGAGCCAAGGAGGTGGGGAGACACGTTGTGTGAGTGTTTGAAGAGCTTTTGAAATGGGG